CTTAAAATTTTTCTTTGTTGTAAAACTCTAAAGTGGAGTCTACTGCATTTAGAGTTTACAAACTATCTTAATTTTTAAAATCTAGAATTGTTTTAGAAGTTTCATATTTACCATATACTACATGGAAATTATCATATGAGTCATTGTATTGGTCCCAGGAGAGTTGTTTACCATCCTCATGTTGTAAAATGATAAAATTGAGGATGAAATTTGTTATGCCTGTGGCATGCCTATGAATGACCAGCATGGATCTTATAATTCCTTCATCAGGACTCTTTCCACAAAACACGTAACTTGCCAAGGAAGTTAAAATATATGACAGGATTAAAAGAATTACATTCAGGGACATCTGCGTGGCTCATTTCGTTAAGTGTCTGCCCAGGTCATGATCCCAGGGTCCTGAAATCGAGTCCCTCATTGGACTATTGCTCAGCAGGGAGCCTGCTTCTCTCTCTGCCTGCTGCTACCCCTGCTTGTGTTCTCTCTTTCTAACAAATAAATGAATAAAAATCTTAAAAGAAAAAAAAATTGAAATCATTTCAATTAATAAAAAAAATTACTTTCAATAAGGGTTGACTCCTAAATCTTCATTACTAGTAATTTTTTTGATTACTTATTGTCTATGCTTAAAGGTATAACTTCAGAAACATGTAAAAATTTGTTGCCAGGTGTTAAGCAGAAACATACATTAATGTTATTTTAACCAGGGATGGTTGTTAAGGAGAGTTAATTACGGTGACATTAATGATGAAGTGTCGGAGAACCAACTTTTTAAGTTTTATGAGAGGAAATTCTAGATATTAGATCATTAACCTTTTGTTTGTGAAGAAGCCCTTTGGAGATTCTGAAAATTGTTTACTATCTTCCCCAAAACATATACATAATTTTACATATGACTTCTAGATTTATTTCTAAATAGATAAATTGAAAATACATGTGTGTGTGTCTTTTGAGATTGTTGACTTTGTTGTTTTGTTGGTTGTGGTAACTACTGATGAGGATGAAAATACTGTCATCAGACATTTGAAATTTTGATCTACCGAGGAGTAAGGAAGAGTCTCTTTTTTGTAGTTATCCAAAGACTAGGTGGACGAACATCAGAGCAGTGGAGAGTTTGGACCCCGGGAGTAACTTATTGTTGATCTGAGAGTTAATCACTTTTTATGTGGCAGAGAGCAACACCATAACATTTTTTAAAAATACTTTTATTTATTTTAGAGAGAGAGAGAGTGCGTGTGTGCAAATGAGGGAAGGGACAGAGGGAGAATCCCAAGCAGACTCCGTGAGGAGCAGGAGTGGGTCCCAGGGTTCCCTCTCAAAAGTCTGATGAGATCATGATCTGAGCCAAAACCAAGAGTAAGACATTTAACCAGCTGAGCTACCCAAGCACCCCAGCACTTATCATTTTATTCATGTACAACCATTCCATTCTTTCTTTGGTATTCTCCAAATACAGTGATAATTTTTGGTTTAGGACAGAATGGACAAATACACCATTTATTTTAAGTTTTAATGTAGTCCTTAATTGAATTTGAGTATTAATTACAACTGGGTTCTACTCCGCAAAAACAGGTTTAAGCTTAATCCACAATCTGTGGCATTGCCTTAAGGTCTTTAGCTTAATCTCTTCTATTAGTCTTTCTATAACCTTTATAATTTTTTGACTGTATTTTATTGCTATTGTCCTCAAAACCAATTACTACTTATTTTAGACACAGCACTGTTATTCTGAAACTCTTCTGAGCTGTGGTGTCTGTATAATGTTGTGATGGTGGAGTCATGGAAACCGTCATTAATAAGATAACGGGCAAGACAATTACTCCAGTCGGGTAACACAGAGTTTTAGAGTATTTAAAAAAAAAAAAAAATTGGGGGGTGGAGAGGAAAGAAGCAACAAGAAGGTAGGTCAGGAACACTTGAAGTAAGTCCTGCCCAGCGATTTGCTTGTTTGTTGGTTCGTTTATTTATTTTTAAAGTTTATTTGAGAGAGAGAAAACACAAGAGTGGGGTGAGGGGCAGAGAGAGAAGCAGACTCCCCACTGAGCAGGGAGCCCGATGTGGGGATCGATCCCAGGACTCCAAGATCATGGCTGGAACCAAAAGCAGACACTTAATCCACTGAGCCACCCAGGCGCCCCATACTTGGAGGTACTCTAGATAAATCAAGTGTCAGAGTTAGGTTAGGCAAGAGTTTGGTTAGGCAAGGTATGCAGAGGAATTAGTGTCCATGTTATTGCCTTCCTGGAGTGGAAATAGGAAGCCATTTCTCCTCTGCCTACCCTTTGGAGCCCATTGAATTGCTCTGTGTGATCTTGGGCTTTGCTTACCTCCTTCCCTATAGACTTAGTTTTGTTTTTTGGTTTTTTTTTCCTTAAAATATGGATAAGCCTATGCATTAATATAAATTTCAGAATAATGGCCTAATCTTCTACTTGCTTCATTTGAACAGAGAAATTCCTAGTATGAATGTTGGTAATATTAATTAGATGACAAATGAACCCATTTGAGATTCTTTGGGCTGCATGTATCAAGGGAAGGTTACATGTAATATCCATGTAAAACTACCTTCAAAATTGTCCTCCCAAATTCTTACCTGACTGTAAAATTCATCCCTGCTCATTTATTGACCAAATGACATGTTTGATTAGGCTTGTATTATTTTTTAAAACTTTAATTAGTTAAAATAAAATTAAAACATAACATAAAATTGGAAATGCCATATGAAAATTCAGATTTTGTTCTCTAGAAAGAGCAACACTGGAAATCTGGCAATAGTAGGTATGCTTTCCTCTAGAACAGCAGTCAGCTGGAACTGTGCATGCTGTCCCTTTGCCTGTCCTTCAGGTCCCCACAGTGGCCATCAGGCATCTTCACTCATTGACATTCCCTGCCTTAACCTGGGGAGCCCTTGAGTTTATTACCTCTTCTCTAGAGCTCCATCATAGTCACTTACTGAACAGCAACAACAACGAAAATTGTACATTTAGCCTACCTTTTGCAGTACTGTTTGATTACAGGAACACAAAGAGAGCAAAGCACTGAACTTGAACCACCGCACTCTACAAGGGGTAGAGAAAACATGTCAAAGGCCATAGTTCTTTCAGCACAGCTGACCTAAATGGTGTTAGATAGATTGCCTTTACTATATAAAGGGAGGGTATGAATGGTTCTTTTATCCTAAGATGATAACTTTAGATCTTGGTTATACTCAAAGTTTGTCAGATTTTAAGGCATCTTTCACTTTATTTACATAATTTTCAACAAGTCAGGATTGACTATTTATAAAATTGCATGAAGGTCAGCCAGGATTTGGGGAAATTAATGGCATTACCATGCTTCTTCCATGTAAATCAGTGATGTTTCTGCCTGAGGTTAACACTTGAGACATCAATTGACATGATGCACATGAGAGAGAGGGAGAGACAGAAAGAGCACGAGAGTACAAGTGGGGGGCAGGGGGTGGGCACAGGCAGAGGGAGAAACAGGCTCCTTGCTGAGCAGGGAGCGTGATGTGGGAATCAATCCAGGACCCTGGGATTATGACCTGAGCTGAAGGGGAGACACTTAACTGACTGAGCCACCCAGGTGTCTCTAGAATATTTTATTAATAGAGTGAAACTGGTGGGATATTGGCTTTGCAAACATTTGACCGGAGTGTGATGGCATTACTTAAATTATGTGGATACTCAATAAGATATTCTAAGTATCTGCAATAAATACAGTGTTTCTACCATGAAAAACATCAGGTGTGCTATAATGTAATATGAAGTGTTATTGTCCATATTATACTAACTGAAATTGGAATCATATTGCTGAACTCATTTTGATCTATTGCTCTGGTCTTGCTTCCTTGCTTGTTTCTCTCTTTCTTGTTATTTTATAATGGGAAACCAGAAAGCTAGATTCAAAGATTTTAAAATGCCTTCAGAGTTCCTTGCAATGATACTTACAAATGATTTTAATAGCACCTTGATACTGTAAATATTGGCCAATTACTTATCATCAGGGTCTGATTTGGGTTTTATTTCTTGTCAGGCATAAAACAGAACAATTCAGAATAGGTGGAATTCTGTCAGATGCTCAAACACAACTTCAGGTGTGCCAGATTCTGCCCTCAGCAATGTGAACAAACTTCAAACAGAAATGCACATGAATAGTTAAAGGAAAATGCTGGATCCCACCTGTTGCATCTTCTGTGAAGTAATAGTGTCTATAACGTTGATAAATTTTAATAACCCACACAAGGCTTTATCTTTTGACATCAAATTTATATTATCTTAAAGTTTGACTTTTCTGGGCAATGTATTTTATTCTCAAGTATCTTAGGGAATCTATCCATCTACTAATGTATATTCATTAGTAAAGAACTAAAGTTTTCTCTTAACAGCCAATTACCAGCGCATTTATAAAGCTGCATTGAAATCTTCATTTTCAGTGGGATGTTTTCTTTATCTGACTAAAGGTCGTGATCCTTATTGAGGACTGGAAGCACATGAACACAATTCACAGAATCAACAACTAAAATGTGATGTTTACCCTTTGTTCCCCAAGATTATAATTGAAATACATTTTTAAAAATGGGTGCTTCTGATAGCTTAAGATTCCATAGTGATAACAGCTAAATGAACAAAATCAGTATCCTGAGACTAGGTATATGAATACTAGCCTCATCTTTCCAGTTGCTTATAGCTGGTAACATCAAACTTCACCTGTAACTCTTAGGTCTTAGAAGCACAGAATATGTCTCAATGCATGACCAAATAGAGGGAAAAAACCTAATTTTATTCATTGCACGTAAGTCTATGGTATCTAAGGTCAGAGGTAGAATTTGTGGTTTTAGGGGACATGGTCTAGAATTTATTTTACTGTGGTCCTAGAGTTTGGAAGAAGATTTTGGCAGATTTTTGCAGAGGGAAGAAAGGAAATAAAAAGGAAACAGTTCCTATCTGATGTCAGAAGAACATGTTCTAAAGAACACTTTTTCACTCCTTTGATTGCAGTTTACAAGCATTGAGAAAGGAGAAATCCCGAGATGCCGCTCGGTCCCGCCGGGGAAAAGAAAATTTTGAGTTCTATGAATTGGCCAAGTTGTTGCCTCTTCCTGCAGCCATCACTAGCCAGCTCGACAAGGCATCCATCATTCGACTTACAATTAGCTATCTGAAAATGAGGGACTTTGCTAACCAAGGGGACCCTCCATGGAACTTGCGAATGGAAGGCCCTCCACCTAACACATCAGTCAAAGGTAAGCTTTAAGCCCCTGTTTATTCTGGAATATGGTGGTCTGTAGGTGTCTCTAAGACGAAATGTTTACCATCGTCCTTTCTTCTTTTCCTGCATATCAAATCCTTTAAAGGGATACAAATGTGGAAATCTGAACTCTGCATGAGAAAGACACCATGTGAAGGTGAAATAAACCTCTTCTATTTCTTTTTTATTTTCCAAAAGTCTGTCAGCCTAAAATATTCTGTCACTTTATGTAAGGTTTCAGAGAAATGAGAATGAGATGACTTACATTAAAGTGCTTCTTGGGTTTAATTTGTGTTATGCTAATACATGCAAATTATTGTTGATGGGTGGAGTGGAGTATGAGAATATTTGTTAGAGGGTGGAACTAATATTTCCTGTATGTAGTAACCAAAGAGAGGAAGAGAGCAGACTCCAATTGTAGTGGGTATTTTGAGTAATGATTTTATTGGCTGATAAACAATTCACGTATTAATGTTTCAAGTCTCCATACATATTGCCCAAAAACTGCTTAAATATAAACATTTATTTGTCCTCCAAATCCTTGGTGCAGTCATTGTTAAAATTCTATTAGTTAAAGGCTTTTAGGCCTTCTTCACTCTGATACATAAGAGAGGTATTTTCTTTTGTTAGTGAAACTTCTAATAATTTATAGCATGTTTAGCATATGAATATTCATGCACGTGTTTATTGATGTGTATGTGGCATTGACCATTGATTTTCCTACCTTTAAGGGTGTGTTATTCGGGGCATTAGACTTAAGGGACTTGCTCATTTCTTGTGCATCTAGACTCTTGGTGGGCACAAAGCTGGACATTTGGCAAAATTGTAGGCAACTCTGGGGAAAGGATTTAGGTGCTTTAGTTAAGTGGTTACACCTTGACAACAACCATTGAAGTCCTGTACTCCTGGCTATTGGAGAAAGGGCTTTGGGTGGGGAGCTGTAAACTCTTACAGGATTCAAATTAAAATGAAGGATCAAAAGCAGCGACTATTTACAATTGAAGGCTAAGGGGTGTCATCACATATATACGCACGTGTGAATCTGTTCATATCTCTACATGGGTACTTACAAACTGTGTTCCATAGGCTTAGGAGAGAAGCAAAATTAGAATTTAAATTGTGACATGTTGTTTTCCTCTAGAACAGGGCAAACATTTTCTGTAATGGGCTATCTCAGAACTATTGTAGGCTTTGAGAGTCTCTCAGACGCTGCCGTTGTAGCATGAAATCAGCCATGGACAATATGTAAAAACAGGGTGTGGCTGTGTTCCCATAAAACCATACTTAACACAGGCAGCTGCCGCCAGACTTGGCCCAGAAGCCATAGTTCACAGATGTATGAATAAGCCAAGGCACACTGATGCTGTCCTTTTACAACCCTTCTGCCATTAAAAATACAGATGTCAAGTTGGTAATGTATGTTCCAGATGATAAAGTTGTAGCAGATTTTCCCAAGCTAAAGGTGTGAGTATCATCTTAGTAAGAGTGTTGTATCCGTTAAGAGTTTATTCAGTAGACTGTTATCATGTTTATTTCAAACCATACAAGATGATAAGGGTAGGAGTAACAAACAGGTCAGAAGTCACAGAGGGTGCAAAATAGATCCTTGGGTCTCGCTTGGAAATTCATTGAATGAGGGACTGGGTTTAATACAGTTTACGCTTTATTTCCATTTTTTATTTAAAGGAGTTGGCAGTTGATAAGTAGTGGTGGTTACCAAAGTAGAAAAATGGTTCCATGGTCTGTCCATTCTTCTGTGAGGCGACAACCCTAACTTTCAGAATCCTGACCTCTAAGACATGTAAATTTCTAGCTCATGTAGAACCACGCCCTCATTTACAGATGAGGGAAATGATCTAGAAACCGTTTAAAGCCAAGTATTAGATTTAAAATGAAAATCCATTGTCTTGCCTTTCTGCCTGGTGCTCGATCACATCATATTGTTTCTAGAAATGATACTTGATTTGCATCCCCTTCACCAAACGTTCCAGGTCAGGATTCTCGCAGCTTCTGGCTAGGACTGATGAATGATTTTTACTTTGTGGACTTCAATCAATTAGGCTCTGTAACTCTTTATGCTAAAGATGGATACAAAAGATAAAATATGGCCTCTGCTGGCATGGACATTTCGGTCTAATGGAAGGACATGGTGATATCAGTGAGAGAAATGGGAAGGTTGAGGTGGGTATTTAGGAGGCTGGAAGGAGATACTAGATTTGATTATTTTGCAAATTCCATGGAGATGATGGCAGAGCATCCCGTTTTATTCACGTGTCCTCCCACTGCTATAAACGGGTGATGGTGAAAGTGTAAGCACAGTGACTCTCTTCCATTGACTGTGGCTCTCCGTAAAGTTGCTAGGAATGCAGTGGGCACTTTCTGTAAGCCGGTTCTGCTGTACAATCTATGTCTATTTTATTGCTGTCCTCCCATTCTTTAATGCAAACCTGTTACTCATTCTGATCAAACATTCATGAAACAACATCAAAAGAAATTCATTTTAATTTATTAAGGTCTTCAGTGTTGTGCCCTTGAAGAAGTTCATGTGGATAAACAAGCTTATATAAATAGCCTGCAGCATCATGTGAAGTGTAGTTCATAATCCAACCATAAAACGATAGACATTATACTTTGTGCTTCTCCAAGCAGTCTCTTGAATAAACCTAAAGGCATTTGGAAATTTATATGAAAAGTACTTACACGATGTAGGCAGTGTTTTTTTTTTTTTTAATGTGATGAATTGTTCATGTTAATAATTAAATTTCAAAGCTTGAATTTAAATTTGTCCCACACAACTATATAGAAACTTAATCATTTTAATTTACTGCTTCAGAAAGGTCCTTCATTCTGCCCTGGATTCATCACATCTTTTCTTAAAAGTCTATAAATGTTGATGAGTTTGTTTTGTGATGCCCATTATGTATAGATTATTACAAGTTATGCTTGCAGAAAGAACACTCAGGTGACAGTGTGTAATGTGTCCTGAGTCAATTACTTCATGGAAATGATATGTTAAGCAATTGGAAGGTAACAGATAGTTTTTTCCATTATTTTAGAAATATCTGTATTGTTATAATACAGATCAAATCTACAATGAACATTATGCATTATTCAAGAAATGACCAGGCATTCTCAGCAGTGTTTCAGCTAAATAACTGATGATTGTAACCTTTAAAGAAATCTCATTGTGGTGACTGTTGGTAAATCACTTCTCCATTCATAGTAATCTCTATTTAGAGGCTATCTAGAAACCATTATATCTTTTATTAATCTTAAAAGCAATAGCTGCTGATTTGACATTTGCTAAAACTAGATAAATTTTCTGTCTTTTTAATATCACAGACTTCAGTCAATTTTTGGTATATATCTGCTACATCTCTATTAATCCAGGGATATTTACCACTGTAAGCATAAGTTTTATTTCAATTTAAACATCGCAGCTTTTAAACAACAATTTGTGTACGTGTGTGACAGGCAACAATGCTACGATGTGTAAAATATAAGACATTTTTAGCCTTTCGAAGGAATCTGTTGAAAAATATTGCACGACAACTGATTAAAATTGACTGAACACATTAGGGAAGTACTTTAATATTTTCATAGAATTTTCCTTCACTATGTAAGGTACATATTGTGAAGGAGGTGGTAGATATTTCTTTTCTATTGTTTTTTAATGAGAGCTATTACTTTTTTTTAAAGATTTTATTTTTTTGTTTGACAGAAAGGTACCATAAGCAGGCAGAGGGGCAGGCAGAAGGAGAGGGAGAAGCAGGCTCTCCCCTGAGCAGGGAGCCCGCCCGATGTGGGGCTCGATCCCAGGACCCTGGGATCATGACCTGAGCCGAAGGCAGACGCTTAACCAGCTGAGCCACCCTGGTGCCCCGGAAGTGGTAGATATTTCTGAGAGGAGAGACCTGCAGGGCTTTATTTAAGGAATGCATGATCTGTCTGTAGCCAAAGACCGGGCTGGTACTTGAGCAATCATGTCTAAGGGATCTGTTTAAAACACTCATGTGTAGCAACTGGGTATGGGACATCTTACAGTAATGCTGAATTACTATACTCATGGTTCCACAGCTTAGATAATATTTTATAAAAATAATTCTGTTTCCAGAGAAGGTAGAGAATCCAAGACTGTCTGCCTCATTGTTTTTCTTGGTCCGAGCAGCTCAGAGCTCTTCCAGTTCCTGTTCGGGCATTTTACAGTGTAATAACACACACTTACTTCTAACCACTGACATTCATACTTGGGGACAAGTGTCCTCATCCTCATTATTAAAAACAAAACAAAACAAAAACATGTGAAATGCAATTTCTGCATGACGTGTACACATCAGGAAAATGGTGGCATGCAGACTAAACCCTTAGGTTCTGAACGAAAGCTTCCCCACAGGGGTAGCAGAGCAGGATATAAGACTGACTTGATTCTTACTTGGTTTCTATTCTTGCGTCTGCCACCTTCAGGAGACTGGGGGCCCAAGTCCCTGCTTTAGTCTTCGGTTTCACTTAACCCAATCTGAAGTCAGGGTGGCACCATGGGGCACCTCAGTGGCTCTTTCGATTCAGTGTCCGAATCTTGGTTTTAGCTCAGGTCATGATCTCAGGGTCCTGAGATCAGCCCCTGCATCAGGCTCTGTGCTCAGTATGGAGTCGGCTTCTTCCTTTTCCGCTGTTCCTCCCCCAACTTGTGCTCTCTCTCTCTCTCTCAAATAAATACATATATATATATATATATATATATATATATATACATAAAATCTTCAAAGTCAGGGGTGGCACCCAGTGGAAATAGGGCCATCCAGATGCAGAGCTGCCAATGTTCACTCCTGTTTGTTTTGGTAACAAGTGCCAGATTTTACTACTATACAGAAATATGATGGGATATAATTGTCTTTTCTTAGGTGTGCTTCTAAGAAGCATTTTTAATGACATGTTATCCTTTTAGATCTCTCTGGTGAACTTAGGACTTTTGAAGGAAGTCCATGCAAGAACTGGCCTTTTACTTGATTTTATTTACACCATGAGAGAAAAGCCTTATGTTGCCATGGTTCCCCAGGATTGTCATCTCTGAGCCTTTGCCTGGGCACGAAGGGCTTTCTGACAAATGTGGACTTGACGGTGGCTGAGTACTTCTCTGAGACTGTAATTCTGTGCAAT